AGGAATCCTTGTCAGTTTTTTATTTTACATAAATATGCACTTGTACTCCCTCACACAGGCAGAATGCATTATTTTGTTGGTTTGCTGAGCTAGCTTTCTGTGGATTGCCCTTTTTGGCTAGATGTACTTGATAATACATATTTTCCGTCTCAAGGATTCTTACTCTGTCACCTTTAATGAACATAATAGATCTGTTCCTGAGAAAATATGAAATGGTTTTACTGAAATTAAGAGACTTATGACTATTTATAGCAGCCGAAGCTTACACATGTGACTACATTTTGTTTCACATTTCTATGTGAGAAAATTCTGCAGATGCTGCTATATACAGTATGAAATTCAGCATACTGACATATTAATTTAAATTGAGTGTTGCAGAATTGAATGTTAAGAATAAAGCATTCCACTGGGAAGTAATATCCAAAATTATTAATATATATATTTAAGGCACTGCAAAAATTGTATGTCTAAATCTCTGAATATCAAAATTATTCAAAATTGTAACACTGGGAATACAGGCATTTCAGTACTATCTTACTCTTGACATAAAGACATACCATTATGTGTGTGTGTGATTTATACTTACTGCATTAATAATGTTCATCTTTTATTGTATGAATAATGCATTAACTATATTTTCTTTGTGTTTTCTCATTCATATAATATAACAAAATCACACCTCAATATACATTCTCATTTGTACTGAACAAATTAAATCTTATTAGCTCAGATATGACAGCTATGAAAATGTGGAGAATTTAAGAGATGTTTTGAGTAATACTACTAAATATACCTATATACTAGGTCTCTTATTTTTCCTTCAAGAGTTACGAGAATATAGATATTAAAAACTTTTAACAAAGATCAGCATAAAAATATGTGTATGGACTCTGTATGTTTCTATGTCTTGATTTAGAAAAACATATTTTATCTGAATGTAGCAATCTTACCATTGTTCATGTGAGATGGTTAGGACTAAGAAAGATTCTTAGAGAAATCCTGGGGTGCATCAAGCACGGCATCTCTAGTAGGTCAAGGGAGGTGATTGTCCCGCTCTACTCTGCGCTGGTGCAGCCTCACCTCAAGTACTGTGTGCAGTTCTGGGCACCATAGTATAAAAAGGACATGAAACTGTTGGAGAGTGTCCAGAGGAGGGCTACAAAGATGGTGAAAGGCCTGGAGGGGAAGACGTATGAGGAACGGCTGAGGTCACTGGGCCTGTTCAGCCTGGAGAAGAGGAGGCTGAGGGGAGACCTCATCACAGCCTACAACTTCCTCGTAAGGGGGTGTCGAGAGGCAGGAGACCTTTTCTCCATTAACACCAGTGACAGGACCCGCGGGAACGGGGTTAAGCTGAGGCAGGGGAAATTTAGGCTTGACATCAGGAGGGGGTTCTTCACAGAGAGGGTGGTTGCACACAGGAACAGGCTCCCCAGGGAAGTGGTCACTGCACCGAGCCTGTCTGAATTTAAGAAGAGATTGGACTGTGCACTTAGTCACATGGTCTGAACTTTTGGGTAGACCTGTGCGGTGTCAAGAGTTGGACTTGATGATCCTTAAGGGTCCCTTCCAACTCAGGATATTCTATGATTCTATGATTCTATGAAATAAATAAATAAAACAGGGATGTAGGTATTTAACAGTAGAAATTAGAACAGTCTTCAAATTTAAAATATATCACTAACTTTAATAATTTATCATTTTCCAAACTCATCTTGAAGGTTGTCTACATGAACTCTATGAGACTGTTTTATTCCCAACGAGAGGAGGAGCATTTGCACCCCTCCCTGTGTGTTATAACCTAATGGTATTTAAAGGTCAAAAGTACCATTTAGAATTTAAAAGTTCGTGGAAAATATGAACACAGTATTTTAGTGGATTATCAGCAAAATGAGTGAATAAAGAATATAAATGTTTCACTTTCATGACAAAGGAGCTCAAATCAAACTAGTGCAAATGTTTACATTTCCAAATATTATGAGATGTTTAAATTCTGCCCCAAACATCTGATGTGAGTCAGTGACTTGGGCTCTTGGCCCCAAGATGGTTTACAAGCAGCTCAAATGACTTTACTGTGCCAGAGTTAGAGCAGGGCTCATGCAGAAAGGGAGGCTGACAGGCTGTTAGGGAGACTGGAAATAGCTCACGGATATGTATTTGTGCATGGCAGTGAATGACAAAAATCTATCAGGGCCACTATAGGTGGTGACAGAGATAAATACCTGACACAGTCCTATGATGAAATAAAACAAATGGACACTGATCTCTTACCTATCAGCCTCTCTTGGAGATTCCAATGCTCAGTACCTGTGTCTTGTGGTTCTTAGAGCTCTCAGGACTAGGAAAGTCAACTTCTGTGTTCATAACCTTCACTGTGAAGCTATGTCACGTTAAAATCCATTATTGTAAATGTATTTTATTTCCTTAAATATTTTTTTCTTTGTTATTCAAGTAAACACTGGTAAAATTACTTGTTATAACATGCAAGTTGTTCTTAGGCTCCTTAATTATGATGTTGTCTGGTTTTGCAAGTGAACTTTAAACCACCTTCTAATAACCAAGAGATGTATAGAATGAGGTTCTGAGAAAGAATTAAAAATAATTTTATAATTTTGAGGGGCATAATAATCATTCACAAATGTTGCCTAATGTATAAAGACCCCGGTACACAAACTACCAAAATATTTTGTCAAAACTTTGAGTAATGGAATAAAGTCAAGGTTATTTGGAAACAGAAAAGGGTGGACAACCGTTCCAAATCATTTTATCTTCTGTAGTGTTTACCAGAAGACTAAAGTAATGTGTTTCAGAATAGCAAGCTGAAATTGGTAAAGCAAGTAATACTGAAGTTAATAATATGTGGGTGGAAGGATGGCCAAAGGTCAAAAACAAAAATACATCACATCTGTACCAAGGCTAAATATATAAAGGGAGAGCCTTTGGAAGCTCTTGTGACAGTGAGTGTTTTGAGATTAAGAGACAATCAGAAGAGTCCCGTTTCATTTCTTCCTTTTTTTCCTTTTCCTTTTCCTTTTCCTTTTCCTTTTCCTTTTCCTTTTCCTTTTCCTTTTCCTTTTCCTTTTCCTTTTCCTTTTCCTTTTTCCTTTTCCTTTTCCTTTTCCTTTTCCCTTTCCTTTTCCTTTGTCTCTTCCTCTTCCATCTTCTTCCTTTTTACTCTACGAAGTTTTTATACTTTTTCTTTGCCAGCTTCTCCTCCTCCTCTCCTCTCCTCTCCCTCTCCTCTCCGCTCCTCTCCTCTCCTCTCCTCTCCTCTCCTCTCCTCTCCTCTCCTCTCCTCTCCTCTCCTCTCCTCTCCTCTCCTCTCCTCCTCTCCTCTCCTCTCCTCTCCTCCTCTCCTCTCCTCCTCTCCTCCCTCTCCTCTCCTCTCCTCTCCTCTCCTCTCCTCTCCTCTCCTCTCCTCTCCTCTCCTCTCCTCTCCTCTCTCCTCTTTTTTGTACAGCACAAAATCCTTACTAGGAGACAGACAGATATCATTTTGCCTTTCCTTACAAAATTGGAGACCATTCCAGTGATTATCTGCCATCTGTTGGTTTCAGTACTTCAATTGCTTCAGAATCCTCTGGGGGGGGGAAGAAAAAAAAAAAAAAAAAAAAAAAAACTCTTTCTTGATAGAGGGTTGAATGTACATTCAAAGGTAGCTTCAGCTGAGCAAGTGCCCAGCTAATCCCCTTAGTACACAAGGACAAGGCTGCCACCAGCTCTAATTGATTCTGAAATGAATCTGTATAGAAAATTAGAAGGTTTGGATTCCCATGTGAGCTTCAATAAAGAGCCAGAATGTAAGCCTGACAGCTGAATGGATTCAGAAATGAAAATCTGATAAGCGGCTTAAAATTGTACTTAAGTCTAGAAATGATTTGAATGCTCTTATTAATGGCACATTGTATATTGTCACCTAGTTAATTATCTCTGAAGATGAGTCCTTGCAGAGGAGAAGATATGCCAACCTTTCACAGCCTTTCCTCATCACATATTTATTAAATTCCACCCTACTCGCCAGTAGCTGGAAGGCAGAAAGAAAGGATTAGGCAACTGCAGTTCCTCTGTGGCTGTCAGTTCACTGTGCCAAACTTCAAATATGAACTGTTGCATGTACTGTCACAGACATTTTCTTTACATCTTAATTTGCAAATGAGAAACTGACATTTGTTAAGCCTTGTATTTGCACACATGAAAAGCAAATGCTGTCACTGCTGGCTATTTTGTTTATCCCTTTGGAGATAGTGTATGGTTTATTTACAATTTTTTTTTTTTTCCTTTTTCTTTTAACTAACCAAGGTAGTCATGGAGCTACATGGCCTCATATTTTATTCAGGAAACCTATCTGCAGTTTATGAAGCATGCCCTGCATGTGAGAGTTTTTTGAACCAGTATCTTTAAATCTACTTTCACTTCAGTGCCTTACAGTTTTTTGATGTTTCTATTTAGTGTGTTTCATGCAGATGGGTAGATGAATTTTTTGTGTGTACACATACTCCCACCCCCCTTCTCCTCAACCCCCCATGTGTGTTTCATATGTGTTTATCTGCATTATCTGCATATCTTTTAGAAGTGGAGGGATAGAAAGATGGTGTTAGAAGCAAAGCAGCCAGTTTTATCCATTATATTAGCATAAGTCACTATACAACATAAACTGGAAAAGAAATGAAGATGGAAGAAGAAATTAAATGAAATGTTCATTAGAAAATGTATCACTGAAAGAAGTAAATGATATAAGAGACAACACCACAGCTATGCAGAATCACTGTCTTTGATATCCAATAAAATGTCTGAGGAATTGAGTAGATTTTGAAATTATCATAGCATCATAGAATCATTAAGGTTACAAAAGACCTCCAAGATCATCTGGTCCCACTATTCCCCTACCATCAATATCACCCAGTAAACCATGTCCCTAAGCACCATGTCCAACCTTTCCTTAAACACCTCCAGGGACGGTGACTCTATCACTTCCCTGGGCAACCCATTCCAATACCTACCCACTCTTTCTGAGAAGAAATGTCTCATAATTTCTAACTGGAACCTCCCCTTGCACATCTTGAAGTCATTCCCTCTTGACCTAGTTATCTGAGAGAAGAGATATCGTCAGACACAAAACAGGAACAATGGGAATCATGCTGGCCAATACTTTAAATTCAGTGCAGAAACCTTGACATACACCTGAGATTTCATCTCTGTTACAATGTTTTTTTTTTTGTTTGTTTGTTTGCTTGCTTGCTTTTTTTTTGTGTGTGTGTGTTTTTGTTTTGTTTTGTTTTGTTTCCCTCCTCCTTTTCTTTGTCATGTTCAGCAAGGGTCAAGTTAGGAAATTAGGAACTAGAACAAAAGCAGCTCACAGTCGTAACAGACACTATATCTTCTTCATATGGAGGGTTAAGTAAGCCACAGTTGGTGACTGCTGAGCTTCTGGCTAGCAAATGGCAACAGACTTAATCAACTCTCAGACTGGCTGACTGTAAATAGCAGATAAAATGTAATTAAACAATATTCATGTAACTTGAGTCAAAGCCCAAGAAATTTAGTGGATCCATTGTTATTATTATTAACTTTAATGAGCTTCATATTTGTACCTAAGCAAAAATGTTATGAACAAAATTATTTCTGAATTAGACTGATTCCAATTCAGCTTGCAAAGTGCCTTGAGATCTTGTGAACATCAGGAAGAACTTGTATGAGATTTCTTATCAAACTATCACCAGGGGTAACTGTTAGGACTTAAAAATGACTTTTGTGTTGTCTTACCACTGCATAAGCACGAACTAAAATAGTCCTTTCAGTACTCAGTGAGATATGGTAGTGTTATTCTCTATATTTTATTGCTAGAAAATTTGCTAAATGTGTTTTCTTTAAAAGAAGAAAAAAATGTGCCTGACATATATGTCAGAGGCATAAAATAAATTGAGGGAAACAGAAACTCTGAGCTGTTTACATGTGCATACACATATATGTAATACTTTGGATGAATATCATTATAATTCTGTGGTAGACAAATGACTACAAGGCAGTTTTAAATTAGGTGTATATCAAATTAAATTATATCAACTTTATGTAGAAACCAGTTCTGTAAAGACTTACTGATGTGCCATTTTATATGACAAGTAACATCTAGATTTAATCATGGAAGATTCACAACAAGTGCACTGTTTGTGGAGAACTGTGTCAATTAAGAATCTAAAATACAAAAAGTTAGTTTTGATTTAAAACCCTAGTCCTCTGAGGAATTTATGCCTCTATTTCTTGTCTGTAAAAATACATTGGAGTTAAGTGGCATACCATGGAAATGTATTTTATTCCTTTAAAAAAACTGGAAGAACAAACAGCAATCCTATGCTCTATATACGAATTCAGTGGCTAAAATATTTTACCAAACTTGGAAACTGGAAAACTGGAAGACGACATGCTTCATCACACTTCATGATTCAATCTCTATGTGGTTCCAGCACAAACTTCCATTCTTTTATGAAAGTGATGTGACACTGCAAATATAAAATAAATAAATAAAGTCTTTTTGTTTGTTTGTTTGTTTGTTTGTTTGTTAGAGAAACAAGAGGAAATGTCTCTGCAGTGTGTTTCTCATTGATAGGATGAAGTCCTGGAAAAAAGTTTCTGTGGACACTGAATTTTGAAATAGGCTTTTCAGTTTGGCTTAAGAGCACTGTTGTCCAGTTTGTACAGGAGGGGAGGATCTAACTTCTGAACACAGCTCCAAAAGCATTATCTGTATTCTATAGAAACCAAAGCATGGACCTATGAGTGGGAGACCAGACTATGCATTTTATCCAATGATTGCTTCATTTGGAATTCATTAGAAGGTCTGTGCTGTAGACATAACAGAAATTCTTGATATGCCCCAAACCTGAATGTTAGGCAGTTATGGACTTTTATCTTATGTAAAGAGTTAGTAATACACACAGAGGAAGGTAAAGAGCTGGGAATGTACTGTAGTTAGTGATGTAAGTGTAAGAAATGTAAGGACTAAGTGTTTTATACCAGTCTTGTCTTGAACTTGCTTTATTAACTCTCCAAAGAAAATCTTTCAGAACTATGTACCTTGATGGGGATACAGGAATTCTTTCTTCACAGTCTCTTTTGCATGACTGTAAGTCTACATCAGGATTTTACTCTCTCTATTAGAAATAAAAACTGTCCAAAAAAACTATTAAAAAAAAAAACAAAAAACATTCTGATATATATATTGGCTACCTCTTTTACTTTTTCCCCAATTTTTGCACCTATTTTTGTGTCTAAATAATAAGAATAATAAAAACAACAACAACACTGAACAAACAAACAAAAACACCACTCACCAAACCAAACCAAACCAAACCAAACCAAACCAAACCAAACCAAAACAAACCAGTAGCGAACAACGAGACAAACAAAAGCACTTTTGGTAGAGACATTAGGTAATTAGTTTTAAATCCTTAGTATGGAGCAGAGCCTTAACTTAGCTTTTTTTTTTTTTTTTTTTTTAGGATAACTGACAAATTTATTTGTTTGGCAGAAATCTTTCCTTTGTTTCTCTCTCCCACTATTTTTGGTTTGTTCTCTTTCCACAGATATACTCCACGTTTCGTGTCAAACAGGATCTTCTGACAATCTTTCAGAAGGATATTGTGACAAATACAGGGCTAAGGAGGGAGTTCTGAGGTTTTAGATGGCGTCAAAAACGTGTCCAAATGGATGCTACAGAAAGTGTCTGTGACTTGTATTTAGGAAATGCTCAGTTCATCGTCTTTTAGTTTATCTTTGCAGTGAAGAAAAATGTACAAAAGAGCTTTTTTTTTTTTTTTTTTTTTTTTTTTATGTAAAATGTTTCAAGGCAGCTGTGATGACAGGTTTCCCTCATTTTCTCATGTATTCCTGAGACTGTCTACCCTTTCTAGCTCCTGCTTTTTAAAGGAAATATAGTATAGTATATAGTGTATAGTATATAGTATAGAATTTTCTTTTCTACATAACCACTCAGAAGTTAATATTAAGTTTATTGGTAACTAAACTTGATATCCTTATTTTCTGAAGAGTTTTTTTTAGTTTAAATTTTAAAACAAATGGTCACTAAGAACATTGGAGAGAAAAAAGAAATAATAGTCCTACTTATCATTTTTAACTTTTCACCCATATATTATTTGTTTATGTTATCTTACTATGTAAGGGCAGTGATTAGATAAAAAGCTGTTACAAGAAACTTCAACGATTTAATAATAATATAAATAAATGAGTGTTGATGAAAAAAGGAAGGCAATAAAGAAGTTACTTTTAAGCATGGTCACAGATAAAATGGGAGAGAGTTTACTGGTATCTCAGCCAGGTGATTAAGGGTTTACCTAATCTTACAAGTATCAGACAGATAAGATTGGTCCTATTTCCACCTATATTTACGAAGCTGGGTCCTACAGCATGAGCAGAGTTTTCTGAGCACAGAATTCACATAACAAAGATTGTTGAAGGTTCATATGATACAAAGTAAAAATTATCAAAGAGAAAGAAGTTTTGAGTAGAAATGGAGATTTTAATTTTGTATTTAATTTCTGTTACTATATATGGTGTTTCGTTGTCATTGATTTTGTTCAGTTTTATTTGGATTTTTTTTGTTAGTTTTTGCTTTTTTATTATTATTACTTTTAATTTTATTTTTACGACCTCTATCAATGTTGCCCAGCCTTCACAGAATGACAGAATCACAGTGTTTGAAGTTGGAAGGGACCCCTGGAGGTCATCTGGTCCAATGCCCCTGCTCAAGCAGGGACACCTGGAGCAGATTACCCAGGACCATGTCCAGACAGCCTTTGAAGGTCTGTGTGGAAGGAGACTCCATGACCTCTTTGGGCAACCTGGGCGAGTGCTCAATCACCTGAACAGGAAAGAAGTATTTCCTGCTGAATGGATTGAACCTCCTATGCTCTAGTTTTTGCCCATTGCCTCTTGTCCAGGTGCACCAATGAAAATAACGTCTCCATCTTTGCACCTTCCCATCAGGTGTTTATATACATCAACAAAATCGGCTCTAAGACTTCTCTTCTCCAGGCTGAACAATCCCGTCTCTCTCAGCCTTTCCTCATAGGAGAGATGCTCCAGTCTCTTCATTATCTTCATATCCCTTTGATGTCCATGTCTCTCTTGGTCTCTCTTGTTCTGGGGAGTACAGGACTGGGCACAGCACTCCAGGTATGTCCTCACCAGTGTTGAGTAGATGGGAAGGATCACCTCCCTCAGTCTCCTGGTGATACTTTGTCTAATGCAGCCCAAGATACCACTAGCCTTCTTAGAGACAAAGGCATATTTCTCACTTGTGTTCAACTGGAGTCCACCAGGACCACCAGATACTTCAGTCCAGTCTTATTAGAATCTTGTTTTTAATATTCTACTGAACTTGCTGAAAATAATACTTCGCTTTTGGAGAATTTCAGTTATTTTACAGGGAAAACTTGCTGAAAGGTACAGGTTCACAAATCTGTCCCTTAAAAACTACAAGCTTTAATAAATTTTAATGTTTTAAATGTGATTAGTAGTGGCTGAGCTTTTGTTTGTTTGTTTGTTTGTTTGTTTTGTCGTTTGCTGTAGTTTTTTGAAAATATTTAAATTGAAAAATCTTATAAGCATCACAGAAAACTCTAATTAAATAAATTCTCATTGTTTCTGAGTATAGGAAATTTTTAAAACTATGTTTTAGTCAAAATAACCAGGGAATCAAATGACAGTTTCATATTCCACCTAGCTTGCCAGTCATCTCCTCCCTCTTAGAAACATCTTTCTCATTTACCACCACCTTCACATCAATACTTTCAATAAAGTATGTCAGAGGGAGTAACCTTAAGCAGAAGACTAAGAAGAAGTAGGAGCAACAAACACCACTTTTTTTTTTTTTTTTTTTTTGATGACAACAGCCTGCCTGGCTTTCCAAGGCTTCCATATATACAAAGTGGGCAGCACATACAACGCCTGTTTAATGCTGCAAAAATTTTGATGCTTCAGCATACACCTGGTTGGAGGGAGCACTTATTCTAACAGATGTCTTAACACAGTAGGAAAAGGGTAATGAATGACAGTATACACATTATTTTACTGTGGAAATCTAAATAAAAATAACCAGTTTGTGTGTGAAGTTTGAACCTTCTCTGAGGGAACCTCTCATTCTTCTGAGAGAAGAATTCATATCAGTTTTCCTAGACATCTATATTACAATGAGATAAATTGCTTTCTGGAGATCCTTGTTTTTCCTTCCTGATTTTAAAGCCTTGAATGACTCATTAAGAAATAATTTATTTTTTGGCCCTAAGATATGAAGGGACTCAGCACAATGCTAAATCTTTCTAACATTTCATGAAAAGCACAATAACTCTTTGATAACTTGAAGAAACAGTTATATATTGCAGCATATATTGAAAACGGGGTATGTTCGACGTTAACCCTGCTTGAAACCTCAAAATTCCTAAAGCAACCAAGAAATGCATTCTGTATCATAGGGGTTGACCTAAATCCATGAGCAAAATTTGAAGTCCTTCTTGCTCTTAAATAAACACTTAAATGGATCCTTTCTTTCGAACAGAAGAAAAAGTAAGCAAGATAAAGGCAACAAGAAATTTTCTGATGCTATGTCATCACCATATTTCAGTGACTTCAGGATTTTTCAAGGCTGCCTGCAGAACTGACTGTTCAACATGACACGGACTGTCAGTTGCAAAGAGGAACTAGTAGGCTGAAGAAGAAAGTCAAACCTGTCAGTATCATGCTGAGGTGGATTGGAAAGAAAGATGCACAAGGGAGTATATATGTGCAGGTTTTCTAGCTAGAGTTGTTCTCAGATTGAATTATTTGGTGTGATTGGATTGGAGTTTGGTAAAGATTTCATTTTGCATTCATGGTCGAATAAATGAAGTGTGTAGCATATCCATCCACTGCAGTCTTTTTTATTCTTATTCTTATTTTTAATTATTCTTAATCTAGACTCTAAGAAATAGTCTATAACTTTTTCCTTAAAAAAAAAAAAAAAAAAAAAATTAAAAAATTACATCATATCTGAACATTCATAAATTCATAAATTACAGTCCTTAAACTAATTGCTCACTGGTGTCTGCACTAGCAATGAGGATCAATTATATTCTCATCATTTCCTTATTTTACAAGTGGGGGGAAAAACAAACACCACCACCACCAACAAAACACACACACACACTAGGCAACAAGTAAGATTTTCCAAAATAGAAATGACAGTCATCTAGGTCCCATTTAAAATGAACAATAGAAAGGAAGCCAGGCTTCTCCTTTACACTTCAGATTATCTTTGCATGACACATAGGAGTCACATAGGAAGTTGAGGAAGAACCTGCTGAATAAACTATCTGTTTTAGCTCTCACTTCTCACATTAACCACAAGAAAATCCTCCCATCTTTGAAGGAGGCAGGAATATTGTCCCACAATTTCTGTTCAGATTTATTTAAGATCAGTAAAACATTGACTGTGAGCTAAAACAGGTTGAAAAGAAAGAGTAAAATCTTTTGTGAAGCAATGATGCATGACATATAACATAAATCTCTGAGTATTGAAGACTAGAGGTTCATTCCATTCCTGGTTATATAAAAGTAAAATACTATTATCATGGCAAAGAAGAAAAAAAAATATTTTTGTGTTCTTGTTTTGTTGTTGTTATGTTTCTTTAAATAAACAAAGATATAACTAATAAGATAATATCTTTTAATATATCTTTCAATTTTTCAAAAAGATAGAAGTAAACAATTTGACTCCCCCTTCACTATAATCACCACCTTACCTGTTCATCAAAAGGATGTGGATAGTTTGACTACGATCTCTCCACCATCTTGCTTAGCATTTTTGCACAGTATAGTCTTTTGGAAGATGAAATGTTTGACATCTCTCATAGGAAATACTGCACTTATTTTGACAGTGCTATAACTAGCATGTCTTTTTTACCAGGCATACTGTCTGGAAGGGAAAATAGAAATAACAACACGTTGGCTTTTATGTTTGTTGCTATGGCTAAACTGCATAGCAACAAGACTTAGGACATTTGCTTATATTTGGGAAAAAAAAAAAAAAGTGAAAATTTAGCTTTCTGCATCTAGTGCGTAACATGCACATCATATCCGGATAATGACCTCACTTTTTTCTCATACTTTTCAACAGGTGAGTTAGATGGATCTTAACTTTTCAGAAGGTTAGTTAAGCAAAAGGTTAATTTAATTTAACTAGTCAGTGGGAAATGCTGCTTTATATGAATTAAGCAACTATTTTTGTACAAAGAAAGAAAGAGAGGGAAACTGGTGAAACTCTTGAGTCTGTCTCTCTTTTGAGAGCTCGAATTTCCAGCTATAATATACTTCCAATATTCCAATAGTTGTTTTTTTTTTTTTTTTTTTTTTTTTTTTTTTTTTTTTTCTCCAGACCTTTACTTGAGAGCTCTACCACAATTTACTATTCTATGTTCTGATTAAAAATTTTAACCCAGGTCTTACCCAGTTTTAAACCCAGTTTTAGTCAGAATTACTCTAGAACTAGTGGTTGAAAGGAAGGAAATAAAGATTAAAGTGCATTTCAGTTCTTTTCCTTCACTGTTTTGAAAAAAGTGAAGAGTAAAGCCAGATTGGGGGTGGGGTGGGGGGAGGAGGAGGGGGGAGTAGGATCAACCTAAACTGTCACTCATATCTCCAATTTAGAATGTTGGCAACTAAAGTTTTCCACAAATTCTTTATTGCAGTTGAATCCAGTCGTAGTATATCTTGACTGCAGACTATAATTAAGCATTGCTTTAGCCTTTTGCTGCTATATTTGAGTTCCACCAGTACATTTTGTTTCATCTCTCCGGCACATTTTTATTCTCAAATATCTCAATCGCTGTGAGAAGTGAGAGTTCAGCTTCCAAAGTAGATTTTGTCCTTTAAGAACATCTCCGCCTCTTCCTTGATTATATATTTAGCTAAGTTTTCTTTACTAAATCTGTTATATAGAAAATAATCTATTGTATTCATGTGGACAGATGTAAATGGAAACAAAGAGGAAAAACAAACAAACAAACAAACAAAAACAAAAACAAACAAGCAAACAAAAAAAACATTCTGAGGGACATGTACATTTCCAAAAGGCTGAGCAGGAGGTATGTAGACAAATCCTATTATTGGGTAATGAGATTTGTGCGCATAGCCGGACACTATTATGAAATTGTAGATCTTTTTGAAAACAAAGTGAAAAAAGGGAGCAATCTTTTCTGCTGGGGTCAGATTCTTCTTCCAGTAAGAATGTAATAAGTTCCATTAAGAATAACTTTATTAGTGTCCAAATGTAGCTGAGAGAAAGAAATGGCCTTTACTTTCACAGCAATTTCAGATGACTTTAAGTCTGATCATGCTGTCATTGAAATTAACTGGAATTTTGCCACTAGGATCTAGCTTCAAGCCTATTTATTACTAATCTGCTAAATCTTTCAGTGTTAAGGACTTTGAATTCCTTGCAACTGTGTTCTCCAATTAAGTGAAACAATTTATATAAAATCAGAACTATTATGAATTAAAAAATCAACTATTATGTCATTGATCGAATTAAAGGAAAATACTACCAATACCATATGCTTTAAAATCATATATGAAGATCCTTGTAGTTACTTGAAGTCATGAGATTTAATACAAAATAAATGCTATATATATATATGCTTCATGTTTTCTGCTACTGGAAAACATAGAATTATGCTCCCAAAGTACTTTTTATAATCAAAATGACATACTTCTCCATAAGGGAAAAGTATGGCAGTCTCTGGTCATAAAAAGATTCTACCAGCAAAACACTTGAAGGAAAGCATTCAAAAAAACAGAAAACTGTAGATTTGGAGATAAGTATATGTAAAAACTTGAAGGTAGCTTTAGACAGTACTAGCCGCCTTTGTGCTTTGCCAGCTCATGTGCTTAAGAATAATTTGTAAATAAGTCTATTATTATTATTATTATTATTATATGTAATAATATATACTATATATGATATATGATATATAATATATATAATGATAATGATAATGATAATGATAATGATAATGATAATGATAATAATAATAATAATAATAATAATAATAATAATAACAATAATAAATAACAATAATAATTATTAATAATAATTTTCCTGGCAAGCTATACCTAATTAACAGTAGAAAGATAGATGATAGGTGAATGGTAAGGAATTATTTATTATTTTTAATTTTATAAATAGGCACATGCTAAGTGTTTCACACAAGAGAAAGATCTTCATACCTCTTAATTTCCTTTTTACACAGCAGATTTCATCTTTCCCAAGGAAATTCCTAGGAGAGAGAACTGGCCAATCCCCTTGCAGTTTGATGAATTACAGCTTCAGGAGCTGCAGTGACTGCAATGTTAACCAGTTAGGGCAGGGTTTTCACTGTCATACCCAAAGCTGTCATTCAGTAGGAAGTCTTTGTGGCCTAAAGTCACACTGTTCTTTGTAAATACTTTGTATATCTGTTATATGCAGTCTCCAAGACATATGTCAAAAACAATAAGTATTTAAAACATTAAGTGATCACTTTTAAGGATCCAGGTAACAGTCCCATTTATAATCTTTTGTAGTGAATGTAATAATAAAAAAAAAAAAAAAAAAGTGGAAAAATTAGATGGTTGTTAGGAAGTATTTGGTGATACAAATGACACAAAGTAAATTAATGAATTTCATCATAATGTTTGAGAACTGTGTGCTCATTTGTATCTACAGAAATCAATACCTACAGTCCATAAATTGATCATGATCTCATATTAAGACCAGACGCAAATTCCTTTTTCAAAAATCATGTGATAGGTTAGGGAAGACAGTCATATAACAAAATTGCACAGGCATAATTTGAATATTAAATAATATAGGTTCTCTCTCTCTGTCTCCCCGGTTAGATTTTTAAGCAAATGTTTTCATGTGCAAATTATGCAAGAAAGAGATGGAATATGGAAAATGTGACAAAACCTTAGTGGCTGGTGTTTCTTCTCACCAGCTCAGGAGGAAGAGAGACATTGCTGTGAAAGAGTTGTCTCTATCCATATTTTATTGTTGTGGAGTATATAGGAGATCTACTACTTTCCTGTTTCCCTTCCTGTCAAAACTGCCATTTATGGGAGATGATCTCCAAATCTTTTTTTGGGGTGTATTTCTGGGACACATGCATGTATTGTGAATAAGTATGACTCTGTAGATGAAGGAAAACAGCTGGAAGAGCTCTCATATATTCTGAGTGATGAGAATTCTGACATAATGTCAGTTACACCATGACCTTGTTTCTGATATGTTTTTCATTGCTGTTAGACTGAACTTTTCTGTTTAAGGGTAACAGCAGTGTAAAACTAGCAAAAGAAAGATCAGAATAAGGCTCCATGTTTCTAGGGAAAAAAAAAAAAAAGGAGATTGCTCAAAATAATGATTTAAAATGAAAGTATGGGTGAAATACTGCTTTCATACGTACAGGGGTGATATATTAAGAATATGTGACAGGAGTCTTGCTGTTGTCATGGAAACTGAAAAAATATTAACAACTTACCCTAAAAGAAAGAAAGAAAAAAAAAGGCTTTGTAATCACTACCACCTTCCTCCCTACACCATCTACTGTACATTACTCTGATACTTCTTTTATACCCTGATTAAATAAAGAACAGTAATTTGCATTTTTAATATAAATGTGTGCTTTTATTTTCCCAGAATTCATTTTAACTATAAATAATTAGAAAATCTTATGTAGCTTTGTAAATGCATACACAGCCAGCAAGCTGAAAGTATCACAAAAGCATGTGGAAATTCCAGAGCTCAACAGCTGAATTATACAGGACAATACACAATGAGGAATCTAGCCCAAAGTTCTGTACACAGATCTTGAGAGTATTTAATGAACTCAGGAAGAAGTTTCCAGCAAAATATTTGCTTCCTGAAGATGACTCCACAACTAGCCAGTGCAAAAGCTGAAGAAAGGGATGCATCTTTCTAATTCTTCACTCTTCAATTCCAACAATGACCATGACCAATGGACAATGACAACTTCTCAGTTTCAGTAATTTTGAATCATAGGATGGAACTGTCACCTGCCGTGTAAGGTCTGTGGCACACTTCAGTAAAGGACACTTTTCTTCTTTCTTAAAGGAGGTAGTTTCTATTTCCCTTTCCCTCATATGGAAGAGAGAAGTGAATATTCACCTAGGAATAAAAAGCTCACCTTATTTAATAAAATATGCAAATTTTATAAAGAAGGAAGTTGATTAGGAAGTTAAAAGAGTATGAGATGATGTGGGAGGCAGAGATTTTGTCTCTTCACCAAGACATGGTAACCAATAATTCTTTAGTGTAAAATGGATAATTCCAGAACCAAACCTAGTCTCCTCTCTTTTTCAGGGAAAGCAGTCATTCATAAAATATGTGTTACATGTTGCTATACTTATCTGCTGAGCTATGTTTTCATCATGGCATAGAGCTGAGGTAAAATGAAATTGCACAAATCCCACAACTTATTTCTTTTCCAGCTGTTCTTTATTCTTATACAAAGATTATTTTTATTTTTATTTATTTATCTATTTATTTTTACTTCTCTGACAGGATTCCTTAGCAGCATTTAAGAGAGGCCTTTGCCATCACCTATTCTGAAAAAGCATGTCCATAGAGCCCATGTGAACTCAGGAAAAAATTCCATTCTTAAAGTAGTTAGGATCAAATGCAGGTGTACTAGGAATTAAAAACCATGGGCAGATACTCCTACAGAATAAGGCTGTAGGCTTGCTACTGTGTCTTTTTAATGTCAGATTTGAAGTTGCTGCAAGCAGCTATATAGTCTACTTTGTTTTGTATATTGACATTGAAATTAAAATACAACATATTGAAGTCTTAATGAAAGAAAAGGCAAAATACTAAATGACATGTAACTGTTTGAAACCAAACCAAAGTCAAA